GCATCATATGACCCCTTTAAATAAAGGTCACTGTCGACTGCATGGCTCAGCGAGTGGGAGGTTTGACTGGCACTTCTCGCGCAGGAGGTGGAAATTCCGCATGTGCATTCAAAGAAAATAGATAATGTGAAATTTTAAAGGAACAATCAACTCATTCTGAAATGAGGTTACAATATTTTTTGGAATCAATGGGGGCCCCCTACTCAGCCAGGGGCCCTGGGCTTAAGCCCAGTGGCTAGTAGCACAAAGCCGGTTTAAGTTTTTATCCAGGTAAGTTTGTGTTTAGTTTAAGTAAACTCTGAGTTTTCAGGCTCAAGAAGGTGGGTTGGTTTTGAGTGGGTTTCGTCACAATAGTAACTTATGCTACACAGCTTCCCTGCTACCAAGCAGGTTTTATTTAGAGATCGCAAACCAAAGCTGGACCAATCAGCTCTGAGCAAAGTAACATATATCTGAAGCAATAAAGCCACCCCCTCCCTTTATGTCTCACTACAAATAAAAGATTTATAGTGATAAAATTTTAGAGATAAATCTTTTGCTTCTAATTGTTTATTATATTTTTATTTTATAGATTATAATTATGTATTATTCATATAATATATTCATATAATTAATTATATGAGTTAACTATTAATTTTAAACTTAGCATTTAAACTAATAGGCTATAACTATAATGGGTCAAAGAAGAAAAAGGGTTATGACATTAAAAAACTAATTATTTTCACCCCAAATACTAATTAGTTGTTATTTTACATTTTTTTTTAAATTTGCCACTATCCTAGGTTTTGCCCATTTGTCAGTAAGAATTTTTTACTAATTAAAAACCCAATAAAATGTAATATGCTAACTTATTCTTTTATATATTTTAATGTGTACAGGTCAGAATAAGTATGTTGTTTGACTTTTTACATAACTATAAGTGTTACACTGAATGACAATATAACATTATTTTGACATTTTATTCTACAAAAACTTATTTGATACCTTAAATGTAGACACTTTACTTGCATGTAATGTGCTTTCTACGGACATAAAATCACTTTTGTAAATTTCTTTTGATGCGGACATCTTAACATATATAAATACAAGGTTCAGTATATAAAGCTTTTCAAACTGATTAAACTTGTTTCTTTTGAGCTCTGTGTAATTTAAATTATTTAAATTCAGTTGATTCACTTGCATTGATATATTCAGTAGCTGCCTTCTCAAACTTCCACTGCAGCAGTGTTTATTCCTGCCTTGTAAATGTGTTTCAATTCATGGTATTTTTTCATAACAATCTCTTCATCTTCAACAGAGAAGTGAATTGCGCTGACTCTCATGAGAAGTCAATCAAACTGATGCTTTTTATAGATTGTTCATCTCGCCTCGTGCTACATGCCACTAATAAGCTCATACATTAATGCAGCCCAGTGTGTGTGTGTGTGTGTATATATATATATATATATATATATTGTTCAATATAATAAAATACTTCTGAAAAATAATGCATAAAAATACATTCAAGATAAATCCTTGCACAGCTAATGACAGAAATATGACAAATTTTGCATAATTCTCTACGATAAGTACTAATTTCATCTCACAACACAATGGCAGCTAACACTTAACTTTGACCATTATTTATCAATATCATATTATTGCACATATACTGCAAGTGTAACAGTGTAAAAGTGTAATTTTGTGAAAATTAAAATGTTAAATACAGTTAATTTTACTGTTTGCTAAATACAGCTATTTTTTTTATCAGGTTTTCATATTGTTTTATTTTTGTATTGTGTTTTTGTAAATTCAGTTTTGTTATAATATACTGTTTTGATCTGATTGCTATTTTCAATGGTTAATATTTACTATTTTTCATAGTGTGAAAAAACTAGTTACAGTTTGATCCTGAAACATTATCATTATAATATTAGTAGGTCTATATGGAACCCACACCAATTAAAAAACAAAAATATATTGTCCCCATTTTGTAGATAATCACAAGAGATTTCAATGATATTTTGACCACTGAACTAGGAAATGCCCATGGTTGTCATTTCAGAAAAATGGTCTCAAGTTATGTCGTTGTATACAGAAAGCTCGCCTTATATGAATCAGAAATTTGGCATGTAGTCCTACTAATTTTAGCTTGTAGGCCTACTACTAGTGAAAGCCTATGCACAACACATGAGAGGGAAGTTTCCTCAGCAGTGAGTGTGTGGGAGCTGACTGTAACAGCAAACAGATGACCGAAACCTTTGTTTTCATGCATACTAGTGATGGGAATTCCAGCTCTTTTTAGGGATGGGATCTGGATCATTTGGCTCAGCTCAGCAAAAAGAACCGGCTCCCCTTTATTTAGTACCACTTCTGGCTTTCAGTGTTTTGATCTAGGGGTGGGCAGTATGGACACAGTCACGAAGTAGGGTCATAACTAAATCCAAGAATTAGCTCTTGTTCATTTGAAGCATTGTGTATTTTTGCGACTTTGTTGCCACCTACAGTTAAGTGAGTTAAAATCACTGTCATACATATGACAGAAACGTTTAGTTTTGCTGAAATAAATAATCCGTCAATCTTTATACAGTTTATTTTATATGAAAATGGGTGAGCCTACTTGGTGGTTTCACATTGTATTGCTTAATGTGAAAAGTGTCACTGCCCTTTAAAATGACAGACAATGACAAATTTGAATGAGTTTACAATTTACAGGAAGTCATATTAGTTAACATTGGTTAATACATTAACTGAAAATAATTAACAATGGCACATTTGTTACAGTACTGTATTCTTTGTTAACAGTTAATAAAAAATCCAACTGTTCATTGTTAGTTCACATTAGCTCAGGTCCATTAGTATTATAATAGATACAATGTTTTATTTTAATAATGTATTAGTAAATTATGAAATTAACATTAACTAATGTAAATAAATGCATTTGGAAGTGTTTTTCAATGTTAGTTCATGTTAACTAATGTAGCTAACTATAATGTTTAACAAGTGGAACCCCAGATGGTGGATGGAGGATCCTTAAAACTGGCATGATGTAACGGCAGAGAAGCAGAAGAGAAAGACTGGAAAAGTCACATCAAGCACAAGCAGACTGGTTACTTGCAAAGGAAAGCAAACTGAGTCAACCTTTCTTGTTATTACAACTGATATGATCTTAACACTGTCCAAGACTATTTACAAATATGAATGACAGATCTGACTGCTCTTCATTGTTGCAGTTTTTATTTGTGCTAGTACTATAAGTAGTCAATTTTCTTTAGACTCCAGACCGATCGCATTTTTAACATAGCTTGTTATTAATCCAAACCATTTTATCGCGTTTATGGAATTGAAAATGTCTTCTTTAACACAATCACTGTTTCAAAACGCAAGTTTATTGTATAAATATATACAGCTTTACTATGATCAGAAAACATTGTGAAATAAAACCATTTATTTATATTTACAGTCAGATGGGTCAGCATTTCGTAATTTCTTATGCCTGACCTTTATAAATGCTAACCTTCTGATCTTGCACAACCTCATTAAAAGGACAGAGGTCATGTTTTTTTTTTAATGTTTCTTGGATGTTTGACAAACTAAACAGACAGACTGTTTGTCATCCAGACAGAAGAGCTTCATTTTCTCATGGTGCAAACTGCAGAACTCTGATTAATCTGAAGCTGGTTATTTTTCTTTAAGAAAACCTCACACAGGTTCTTCAGTTCAGATTTATAGGATCTTCTACAAACAGGACACACTTGAAATCCATTGGTTGTTCAGAACTTCACTTGGACAACTGGTTCATTAAAGATATTACAGCACACAGGACAGGAGAGATCCTCTTCAGAGGATCTATCTTTGTTAAACTAATTTAAAACACAAATGGCTACTCTTCTCAATTCTCAACAAAACTTGCCCTGCACACCACAATGAAATGCAATGTGCACAAGACAAGGTAGCAAAATCACTTTCACTTGGTTTTTCGGATAAGAATAGGTTTTATTATCAGCAAAAGAGGTTTTTCATTGGACAAGTTGACAGCTGACCAGTTTTACAGACACTGTGACAATGTGACATCAGTTCTGTCTGTTTAACATTCATTAACTTGATTGCAACAAATTATAATCCCTAAGTAAATATTATTCTTTCATATTTTATACTTTTAAATGTTTATACATAGGCTTACTTTACTATCACCTCATGAGCATTGTAGGCATATGATAGTAATTTAATCACTGTACAGGTATCTAATTTCTAAGTAACAGTGTTAAAACTGATGTTTACAGTTCAGGATTGTTGATGCAGTCCATTCTCCCTTGAATTTCCTCTCTGCTGAGCCGTCAAATCTGCTGTTTTATGTTTAATCCAGTGGTATTCCTTACAGATAAGCAAAAGAGACAGTGTAGGACTCATCAGTTTCATTAGACAACACTACATAGCCTACATACTGTAGGAAACTTTTTCCTCGTCGAAGCAGAAACCAGGAGATGTTGGGATATCTTTCATACAGAAGTCACTCTTTATTGAGGACTCGCTGTGCGTCGCTGCAGTCATCCAAGTCTGACTAAGGCAGTAATACATTGTAGTTTATATACATTTTAAGGGGGCGGGATACATTCAGTAGAGGTGGAGACAATCTAACCTATAGCATGCAAATGAAGTACAGGCAATCAGCTCGACACCGGCATTTTCCCAGCCTTGATCTCATCAGTATAACAGTGTCATCCAATGCATAGGTGCTGATCCAATCAGTCTGACAGTCCTAATTCAATCAGCATAACTACTCAAAGACTGGGGCAGAGGCACCAAGAGCCATTACAAACAAAAGGTGATGGTCTCAGTAATCATGGTTCATTTGACTAACAATAAGAGAACAGGAACAGACAGGAACCTCTTGCTACACTTTGCTTAAGATAATCATTTGTCTGATGTAATTTACCTTAAATGCTAAATACAATGTACTTCACCTTAGTTTTTCATGTGATGCTATGTCAGAACATAGGATCAGCATATTTTAAACAGATTCTTAAATTTGTAATCCCACAATACCTCTGATACCATTCAGGGTTATCAATATGTAAATCTAATATAACAGCAGAGAACAAGATCAGTAAAAAAAAAGAAGTCCTAAGAGACAAAAACGTTTACCACATTAGAATTTCAGTTTCATTGTGCAGACTGCAGAAGCAGGGCCATCGCTAGCAGGCGAAAGGTGGTGATGATTCTAGGGGTCCCTGGCCCCAATTGTATAAGATTTCTGGCTCTTGCCATTTAACATGGCTAGATTATATTTGGCTATGGACATTTAAAAAAGAAGGCCATTGTTCCTTCTTCCTTATCCCACATAACCATCTTAGGGCGTTTTCTTTTCAGTGTCACCTTTAAACTCTTTGGAGTTTCTAAGTCACTATTCTTTTTACGGCCACTTTGGAACCATATGTATTTTAAAAAGCAATGTACAAACAAACTGAAACTGAAATATCGTTCAGCATATTTCACTCTGTATAAACAAGAAATCATGAAACACTGCACATTATTCATTATTCTATACCATTTTCACATTTGTATCCTCTCCCTGGAGTAAACTAGCATGTGATTACTGTTAAGTAATACTCATACTGTTAAAAAAATCCTTATTTACAAATGGTTTTGAAAGTAGTCAAAAATATCAATAATATAACAGATGAAATGTAGCCCAAGATGACACAACATTGACTTTTCACACTCATAATACTGTTAGGCTACTGAATCACATAAAAACAGTGTGTGAATCTTAGTCAGTCTCACTGTATCCACTACAGTGGGGTTTCTTCTGTTTACTCATGTCTGCCTATTGTCCACGGCACACCCTCTGTCCTTGGAGACAGGAAATAATCCATGTTATGCAGATGAATGCCCTCCTGCTCCTCTTGCTAAACAGGAAGAACGTGTTGCTGGCTGTGTTTTGGAGGAGACATCAGAGACTTTCCCTCCTCTGGAAGCTGCTTGGAGGGAGCAGGAGGCCGAGGGGAATGAAGGAGGAATGCAAAGGGCAAAGTCTGTTTTCCTGTTCTAGACATGAAATGCAGCCTATACCTGATAAGACCCAAAAGCAGAAAGTAAACGGGGGTAAATATAAGGACTGAATGGAGAAACAAAGAAGCAGACTTGGAACAACTTTTTAAAAGACAAAAGGATTTTCAGATCTAAGCAATCACTAATTATATATTAAAAGATGGAAAATTTAAAGAGTTTTACCTGAGTAAATAGACTGTGAGCATGGTGAGGACTACAAGAAAACACAGCCCAAAAACGCATGACACACACAGCCACACTGTAGCATATTCAGTATCATCAGCTCCATCTATTGCCACTGAACCTATGAGGAAGAGTGAATGAGGACAGAGGTGAAATGTCACAGAAGGCTGAAACTGTGGTGGCTTTTTGTGTACCCTCTTATATACAGTTTTTTCTCTAGGCGTGTTCAATATATTTCATTCATATTTGTTATGGGATCACGATGCAGACATGAGGCCTTAATTTTATGTTCTGTGAAAATAAGGCCCCCCATTATGTGCCATCATGTGCTTATCATGTACTTCACCATATGTCTGCACATTCCATTCTCATACAGATTTCTATACATGCAGGCAAATACACATGATTATAATAGTAGAATAACTTAATACATAAATGGCCATATTCACATTGATTATACTTGAATAATTTATATTTTATTCATTAAACTCTTCTTCATTCTCCCCTTTCAGACTTACTAAGTCTCACCTTTACTTGTCTTTACCCAGAGAGATCTAGTCTCATTAGTTATTATGACCTAGTGACTTAATTAAGTCACACAGTTTTATCACCAATGACTAGATTATGTAACAGCACTCTGGCGGAGCAGCAGGACCAAACCTCTCCCCCCACACTTGACTAGGAGGGAGTAAAAGATCCCGTCTCACTAATCCCTCATTTAAGATCAAACAATGTTATAAGCATGAGCGTGCAATTGGTTCAGCGCTTGCCTGGGGTTGTCACAGTTATGTAGTATAAAACAGAAATAAAAATTCAAGACATAAAACATGTAACAAAAAATAGCATAGTTGATCTTCAGTCCAGACACTTTGCGCATCGTAGAGGGCCCCCCTTGGGCAGAGGTTAGGCTAGCACTTACACCCAGGGTATGGTTCATCTTTATACCTCTTCTTCGTCCTCAGTTGAGGAACTAGAGTCTCCATCATTTGTCAATGTTTGTGACTTCCAGTTGGGTGCATAAGCCCAGTCCTGGTAATGTACATTTTGGTTACTCTTCAAAATCAATTTCTTATTATCTTGACATCTTAGAATTTCCATTTGCCTAGCTGTGGCTTGGACAACTAATGACTTCAGTATGGGAAGCACACAGGAAAACAGTAATCCTCCTATTAATACTGCAACTCCTAAAAACATTCCTAATTTAGCTAACCATGCTCCCCATGCTCCTAACTTTAGATCAAACCAATTCCCCATCTTATTATCTGTCCCAGCGTTAGTTTTAAGTTCAATCCTTAGGTTTTTCAATTTGGTCATTACTTCAGTGAATGCGCCTTCTGGAGCAGTATTATTTGGTATATAAATACAGCATTGATCCCCAAACATAACACACACTCCCCCTTTCTCAGCTAACAAATAATTTAAAGCTATTCGATTTTGCCATGTCATTCTGCTCGTTGCATCCAATTGCTCTCCTAAAAGTGATAAGGCCTCATCAGTGTTATTAATAAATCTTTGCTGATTGTAATATATGTAATTGATCCATTCTGTATTTTTATTTTGTGTAATCCAAATTAATATTGATTTGATTTCATCTCTTGCTTTAAACTCATAAGGTATACCTCTTGGTTGACCAATTGAATCTATATAAACTGCAGGGTCTTTTTCATAGGCTCTTCTGGATCTGTCTTTCTTTTCATTTGTTGCTTCCTCTTCTAGAGAGATGTGACTCATTTTATGTGTAAGCATAATTCTAGTACATAATCCTGACCATTTTTCTGGTAATGTTGTCAAGAGGCCATATTCTAATCCACTCATCCACCATATGTCTGCCAATGCAATATCAATGTCATCAAATATAGGTGGTGGGCCGTCTTTTATCACTAAATAGTCATCTTTACATCGTGGTATTTTCCATGTTCTGCTGCATTTTCCTTCAAATCTTCCTACATCAATATTTCCCTACTGGCACCAATATGGGCAATATGCCATTTTTTGGGTACAGTTTCTAAAGACATTTATCTCTCTGCCTCTTTCTATAAAGCATTTACCTCCCAATCTCACTACATCTAACCCCATTGCATTAGACAGTCCTGGACATTTCTTAAACCATTCATCATGAAATATTCTACAACTAGAACTGTGTATAGGTATTGGTACAATATAAAAAAATGGTCTTGCTTCAAAGCAAACTATGAAGTTTTCCCATTTCTCTTTTTCTGCTGTGTAATTTACCCATTGATACCAATTATTGTCTTCTGCCTTTTCCCATAATATATCTGAATTGCCCGTTCTCTTATAAGTAATGTTATGGCTGTCATTTACAATGTGTCTATTTTGTCTAGATACTTTTTCCTCCTTATCTAGTTCTTGTTTTGTTTGGATTAAGTCAAAGCCACTGCTAGATTCAACTGAGGGGGTGAAAGTTGATTCTAGGGAAGTCTGGGGGCTGTCGGCTACAGCTTGAGCTTGTAGAATTATCTGCATTAGGCATGTGATAATCATCAGATATGTTGTCAGACTCATTCTTTCTCCTCTCCTGTTTGTCTGACAGGAGAATGTGAGCTCCTTGTGGATCTTTTTTTTGAGCTCTCATCAGTTTGCACTTCATCTTGTGTCACTGGTCTTTCCTCATCACTTTTTCCTGAGTTATCTGCTTGTCTGTTTCTTTCTCTTTCCGTCCTTATTTGGGGAACTCTTGTACAGTGGTTTAGATGATACCAGGTTGTACTTCCCTCCACTTGGACTGCTGTTGGAGTAGCTCTCACGACTTTGTAGGGTTCCTCTCTCCTGGGCTCATTCCACTTTCTCCAGAATACCCTCAGATATACTTGGTCACCTGGAACAATTGGACATTCAGTCTCTGTTTCCTCACAGGGCTCTTTTCTTGTTTCCTGTAAATAGATAGCTTTATGTATGGCAGTTAATTTCTTCATATAAGATCGAAGTTCCATTTGCAATTGCTCTAGAGGAGGTCCTTTGTAGAGACCTCTACAATATGGCACAGGCATGGGTCGACCCGTTAGCATTTTGCCTCCACCCATCTGCTAAATCTGTCTATGATCACCAGCATATACCCTTTGCCTTACCAGATGCTTAAATGGTCCTTCTGGTACTGGTATATGGCCTACTGGTGTTGTTATTCCTTTTCTCACATTGTTTTTGGCACAAGCTTCACATGTGGACAAAAATTAATTTACCATTGCATGTAAATAAGGAGACCAATATCCTTGCTGTTTAATTTTCCTTATCACTTCCCCACTTGCGCAATGTTCAAAACCATGCGCATCTGAAATGAGAATATTCAAAAGTGAAGTTGGTGCAACAATTGGACCTTCATGTGTATGCCAGATGTATTGTGTGTCTTTTTTGGCTCCTCTTTGGTGCCACATAGAATGTTCATAAGGGCCTGCTTGCTGTTGAATTCGAATAATATCGTCCAATTGAGGTTGAGGTTCTATAAGTACTACAGGTGTTAGTACTGCTACCTGACACCCTGAGGATTTTTAAGCTTCCATGTCTGCTGCATTATTTCCTTTAATGATGTAATCATTTCCTTTTTTATGAGCTTGACACTTCATTATCGCTAGTCGTTTTGGTATCATCATAGCAGAAATTAATTGACCTATTTGTTCAGCATGTTGTATGGGAGTCCCGTCACTCTTTTTAAAACCTCTTTGTTTCCATACTGCTCTAAACAAGTGACATACACCATGCACATATGCTGAATCAGTGAAAATATTGGCTGTTTGTCCTTTTGCTAATTGACATGCAGCTGTGAGAGCTTTTAATTCTGCTAATTGTGCAGAGCAAGGCTGTACACAATGTTGTGATATCACAGGCACAAATTCTTCCTTGTCTTTCTTTACTCCTGAATATTCTGTATGATTTCCTACATGATCTCTAAAGCTAGAACCATCAACGAAGTAAGTGACTTCTGCTTCAGGGATTGGTGTAGACTCAAGATCGGGCCGTAATCTGGCAAATGCCAATGAATCAGTCACACATTCATGGGGCTTTCCTTCAAAAGCCAAAGGAATCAATTCAGTTGGATTAACTGTATGGCATCGCTTAATTGTAACATCTGGATACGTGAGTAGCGACGAATAGGCTAGAATTCGGGCTTGAGTCAGAACAAATTTTCCTTGTTCTATTAACTCCACAATTTTGTGATGAGTATAAATAGTTACTGGGTACCCCATGGTTATTGTAGCTGCTTTCTCATATGCATAGTATACTGCTGCAAGGCCTTGTTGGTAACATGGTGGTAACCTTGTGCTACATTGTCCAACTTTGTACGGTAGTAAGCTATAGGCTGTTTTTTTCCTTCCACTACAAGTCTCTTGCATCAATACAGCTGATGCATAACCATCAACTCTATTTGCGACATACAGATGAAATTGTTTAATGTATTCAGAATTTCTGAGGGAAGGGGCCTTTTGTGGTTCTTTTTTTATAGTCTCAAATGCTAGTAATGCATCAGTGTTCCATTTTAATGGATTACCTAAATGTTGCAGTTCTGCATGTTTCATGATTTCTCTTAATGGAGCTGTTTTTGCTGCATAATCTTCTATCCAATCAGCACTAAAGTCGGTCATCCCTAGGAAAGTCATCATCTGTGTTACTGTTTGAGGAAGTGGTGTTTTATTTATACATTCCAATTGAGCTGGAGCTATAGCTCGTGTGCCAAATGCAATCAATCGTCCTAAGTATTCAACTTGAGGCTGGCAATATTGTATTTTGGTCTTGGATACTTTGTGACCTCCTTGTGCTAATTTCGTTAGGACCTTAATATAATCTCTGTGGCATTGTTCTAGTGATGTAGAACAAATAATCAAATCATCTACATACTGTAAAAGAGTACTGTTTATCATAAGATCCTCTAAATCAGCTTTAAGTATTTTATTAAATAAATGTGGCGAATGTTTAAACCCTTGAGGAATTCTGGTGTAGGTATACTGTTTACCTGCATATGTAAATGCAAATAAATATCTACTTTCCTCTGCTAATGGAACACTGAAGTAGGCCGAACAGAGATCAATTACTGTAAAGTATTTAGCATCAGGAGGGACATTCATCAGTAACGTGTGCGGGTTTGGTAACTCAGCTGGCAAATCCTCTACT